AAAACTAGATGGTATTCGAGTTTCGACTCGAATACGAAATGCGGTGCGAAGCACGAATCCTTCGAATTTTCGAAAAAACGATATTTGTCAAAAAACGAGACTTCGATTTTCTAAACTATATTGATCGCTATTTTGACTTAAATTAGCTACTGACTCTGTTAGACAGACACATTTCTTCATCTTCATCAAACAGATGATCTCATCTGAACATGGAATGAAAGCCGTCCATTATAAAATTCATCACTACAGAAACTCTACGAAAACGTATCGATAGATTTCTATGAGTTGTTCCCTATCGATCAATTAATTATCTCAGTGATTCATTATCTACTATCAGCTGTAATTCGCAGCTGTTTGATATATAGCTAATGAAATTAGCGCCTAACTTTTCTTTTGAATTTTCATTTTAATTATCTCAAAAGTGAACTTTGTCAAAATCGTGATTTTGGAGCTCCGATTGTAGACGAACTATTGGTTCTATAGACGGTTCGACTAAAAATGGTATTAGTTCGATCTCGATACTCGGGCCTCGCGTTTGAACCAATATTTTCTGACTTTCCGTTCTCGAGATCATTCGAACAGAAAATGACAACTTTTATGCGTACGTCGAGAAAGTAAAATAAAAAAGTAAAAAAAAAAAAAACTCGCGAAGGACTACTTAAATGCTGTGCTTCGCACCGCATTAAAAAAAAAAAAACTCGCGAAGGACTACATAAATGCTCCTGCTTCGCAGGGCATTAATAAAAAAGTAAAAAAAAAAAAAAACTCGCGAAGGACTACTTAAATGCTGTGCTTCGCACCGCATTAAAAACTCGCGAAGGACTACATAAATGCTGTGCTTCGCACCGCATTAAAAAAAAAAACTTTCACTTGTTTTCTTCTTGTCTATAAATGAATATTCATTAAAAAACCTTTTGTTTTGACAAAATTAAAATGATGACTTGATTAAGTATAAGAAAAACTTATGTTGACTATTAGCTTCTCTTAAAATAATACATCATATTACCATAGCAATTTATTAATAATTAGCTTTATTTAGATAATTACGTGACATTTACTATTTTAAATGATATATTTTATGATCGTATGAAATTAAAGGTCATGATCAGATTGACCTATGATGCAAAAGTCTTAGTACAAAATATTCATTCATTTTTCGGCCACTAAAAGACAACTGATTAGAGTTAGTTAGAATTAGAATTTTCCAACCTTTGCTAAATATATGTTCAGATTATCTTTTTGGAATAAGATTGAATAACTATCTATAAATTTTGTCCAAAAGTTCAAAATTGTGTCTGTACAGTTTAGACACAGTCCTTAGTCTGTGCCTTGTAACCACTTTAACTTAACAATATTCTAGAACACTGAATTCTGTACAAAATGAGATATTACAATAGGCGTAATCTTATCTATACAGGAAACATGGGGGTGTCTTTTTCTTCGAAAATGTGTAAGACAAAATCATTTTTAAAACCAACTATCTTCCGGAAACATTCGAAAAAATGCATGAAACAGGTCTGTCGTTCTAATGAAATTTTGATTTTAACATATGATTTGGATAGAAGGACTTCAGATCTATAGTTCAAGACACAATGCGAATTGTTATCATTCCACATGCTAACGCTGAACCAACAAAATCCATGTACTGGCTTACTCAAATAATACGAAATTGTGCTGATTTTCAGCTAAATTTTTTTACTTTTTTCTCAAAATTTCATCGGAACGGCAGATCTATTTCATGCATTTTTTCGAATGTTTCCGGATGATGATTGGTTTTAAAAAAGATTTTGGCTTACACATTTTCGACGAAAAGACGCTCCCATGTCTTCTCTTTCAATTGCTGAAAATCGCAGATCGCTAGCTACTTGCATTCTTGACTTATTTAATTTTTAACCAAGTACCTTTACATCTAAATCCGACAATAGTGACTTGGACAGTTCTAAAAATTTCGAGGACTGAATATTTATATGGAGTACTGTATCTCTTTTGGATTGGGATTCGGTGAGGAAATACACCGTGTTACTGTTAATTATTCTAACATGCTTCATTGAGTAATTCAAATATTAGCACCATAGGTAGTTGTCTTAATTTCTCTTTGATTTCTAAAATATATTCAAAAATAAAACATTAGCTAGCTCACAATTATGCAAGTGAAGAAAAAAGAATAAAATTAATATAAGAATGTAGGTACGACTTTTGTCTTCGCCCACACGCACACTCAACTGCATCCATATCCTTCCTGACCTAACCAATCTTGAAAGATATACACTTCATTTCTATATACTTTTTATATTAAAACGAATTTCCTGGCTCAACTCAACGTTAGACGACGAGTCCTTACAATAATATTCTTTAATTTGTATCATTTTATGAAATTACTGAAATAAAAGGTAACGAATAAGTATGATTAAAACATAAGATGCTTGTAAGAATATTCGAAAAATAACTTAATCGAATATCAAATATATATGTTTACCTAAACATGCATGATCCATAATAAGTTTAAAACATTCTAAACGTAAATCAAACATAAGTTGTTGTAAATCTCTTTTAAAATCAGCTTGTATATCAAGTGAAACAAGATGTAATACACATAAACTATGAAAAAAAAAATTAAATAATAAATAATAATAAAATTTATTTGAAAGAATTTGAAATAAAATTTACCGACAATTTTGTATACAATGTGGTAATGTTTTAA